TAGGGTATCTTAGAAACCAGGCTATAGCGATGTGTTTGATGGTCTGTAGGGTATCTTAGAAACCAGGCTATAGCGATGTGTTTGATGGTCTGTAGGGTATCTTAGAAACCAGGCTATAGCGATGTGTTTGATGGTCTGTAGGGTATCTTAGAAACCAGGCTATAGCGATGTGTTTGCGGTTAAAGTCATTTCAGATGGAATATGTGTGGGAACCCCGGCCTTGGGATTCTTCTCCTCCAGTTAATTCCCGTTTAACCTGCTTTAATTACTCAGGCCAGTTATGGCTCTCGTCTGTTAAATGGGAGTGGTGAACTGTTGAACTGTGCCCTGAACATGTGAAGGGCCCAAGTGTGAGTGTTCAGGCGTCTGCACCGGCCTGTCCTTGGGGTTCTGACAGGATTCACCCTCAGCTGCCGCCACTGAGAGCACCACCTGTGCACATTCACTGTGTTCCCTTTTAAAAGGGTCCTGCTCACCTCCCATCCTTCTCTCTCACTCCCTCCGTCTGTTTCCCTCTCTTTTTCTTTCCTCTCTCTCATTCCTTCCTCCTCTCTCCTGCTGCCCTTGTCTCCAGAGGCCGGTCTCCCTTTTATGAGCCCCCCCCCAAAAAAAAAACCCTCCTTGGCTTGAACCCTGTGGAATGGCATCTTTCTTTCGCGCGCCACTTCCCTTAAATCACATCACCAAGGAATGTTTATTTCTCTTTATTCAAGAAAGATTTGAGCACCTAAACGCTGGCATTGGCTAAGATTTAGTGATAACAAACCTAGCCTCTCTGGTGGGGTCCAGTCTTTCTTGGCTCCTTTTCTTTTGAATAAAGTAAATGTAGAAAGAAACTCAAGATGCAGGGAAGTGTTTTCTCATGATCAGTGTGGCGTCTGTTACTTGGTACACACTAGTATATATCCCCCCCTTTGAATTGCAGCATTATGTACAAGTCAGTGCAACTGATAAAGTGTTGCTTAATAGTTTGGTTACATTTCCCCCATGTTAGTGAAACTGGCTGGAAATTTTATCATGGAGCTTATGATATCTCTGCTGATTACTAAGGATGCTTATGACTGACTGTTCTTGGTTTTCAAATGAATCAATGTAGGT